TTTTTTTTTTTTTTTTTTTTTTTAATTTGTGATTCTGGCCATATCTCTGTGGCAAAGCTTAAAATCTTCCAGTAGAATATATAGTAGAGATCGGAAAAGGATAGGATGCTTTAGTTGACTTTTTCTTAGACTCGGCAGTTTGTTGCTATAGAATATAAAAACACTAAAGTCTGTAATTGGTAGCTATACTTTATCGTGTCTAATTTGCAATTTGAAGATTTTTGTGGTTGCTCTGTGATTAGTTAGGTTCGTTTGAACCAAAAATTTAAAAATAGAAAAAGATTACCGTTATTGTAGCTTCTACAAGATACAACTGTCAAGCAATTAATTAAATTTTTAATACTTTCAATGACACACCATCATAATGCCCACATGGAGATAATTAAGCATTAGGGGAGGAAATCAAAATATATAAAAGTGGTTGCTATAACCATAAAGTGCCAGAACCCAGTCATTACCATTAGCCTGTCTCCCGGAGTTATTTTTAGAAATAATTAACAATTCCTGCAGACTGCCTTCTTCATAGGTCCCCAAAGCACTGTTCCATTTAGGAACTGCACTGAGTCAGGATTCTTGCAGGGGGATGAAAGAAAACAGAAAGGAAATGCTTCTCTTAAGTATAATAACCTCAACTCCAATGAAGCCTTTCAACCATAACTAGTGTTCTCTTCACTAGTGAAGGAATAAAAGCAACCTGCCTAGACGAGCACTTTGCAAGACGAGATTTAATTCTGATTCACTACGGAGTACCCAATTCTCAGAGGACCAAGCCAGCCATAATTACAGAGATAACAATAATGTTCGCTCCACATAGGGCACAATGGCGTTTGTTGATATCACTGCAAACTGGAGAAAACCCTGGCACATTTGCAACCCTTTTGGCTCTCACAAGCAGGGTTTTCCAAGTGTCTCTGGTCTGTCTACATACTTTGAGCTTGCCAGGTTTAGTATCATCAGGAGTTCTCTTGGAGATTCTAACCAGTCCTAGTCGTCTACAAAGATCCAAAAAAGGAGTTGGTTCTGGGTCTGTCTGCCTTGCCTGTCCCTTTTACACATCGTAGTACAAACTGAAAATGATACTTGAACGGCACCCTGGGGGAAACAGACAGCAATGCTTATAGCTGGAGACTGCAAGGGTAACACCAGCTACCACCCCAGTTATCAAAGCACCGGGAAGCTCGGACACACACCATATCCACAGGTGGCGGGAGGTTTGGGGAGGTGGAACACAGAGGTGACCACTTCAATTAACATGAAAATTCAGAGGGATGGTGAGGAGAGAGAGAAAGCAGAACGCTCCTGCTCTGCTGGTGGGCATGTAAAATGGTGCAGGCAGCCCCTTTGACAAACAGTTGGCAGGTTCTCAGAAAGTTAAAGAAGAGCTACCCCATGGCCCAGCAATTCTACTCCTCAGTATGCAAGGAGAGAAATGAAAACGTACGATCACACAAAAACTTGCACACGAATGTGAACGCGTTGTTCGAAATGGCCAAAAACTGGAAGCAGCTCAAAGGTCCGTGAACGGGTAAATGCATAAACAACGTGTGGCGTATCCACACAATGGAATATTCTTCAGTTGTAAAAGGGTATGAAGTACAGATACGTGCTGGAGAGGAATGAACCTTGAAAATATGCTAAGTGAGGGAAGCCAGTCACAAAAGACCACATACTTACTGCGTAATTTCATTATAGAAAAGGTTCAGGCTAGGCAAATTTAGAGACAGAAAGTAGATTAATGGGTGCTCAGGGCTGCGGGAGTGGAAAGGAGTGATGGGGATTGACTACTAATAAAATGTTCTAAAATTAGATTGTGGTTGCTCTGTGATTCCTTGCACAGTTCTTTAAATATAGCAAACCCACTGAATTGTACACTTTATATGGGTGAATTATATGGGATGCGAATTATATGGGATGCTCAATAAAGCTGTTGAGAAAGAGGAAGAAGGCGAGGAGGAAGGCAGGCAAGCTAGAAGAAGGACGTGGAGAAGAAAGGGGAAGGGGACGGGAGGTAAGGTAGAGTAAGAGGACGCAGAAGCAGGAAGCTGTCACCACCTTCAGAGGGATTTGGACTGGTGTATGAATTATGGCAAACAACCAAATGCTTCCAATTCCAGAATTACTTAATGTAAAAGGGACACGATTATTTCTGCGCACATTTTAGCCTATCCAGTCTTTCTGATCAGTCCACCTAAATTACTTACAATGAGTCACAGGACCCAGACCATCGATATCTCTTAGACACGCTAAAGAGAGACAGACCTACTAGGTTGGAGATTAAAAAAATAACGATCTGTCTTATGTTGTCTAATTTTACATCCACATAACTGGATGCCTCTATTAATTTATCTGCCATGTGGTAAAGAGCATATGTCTGTATCTTACATATGTACATATTTTAACAAAGAAACTACAGACGTACTGTAATTTAAGAATAGCTGATATATTCTGCCTACTTACAACGGTATGATTTGTTTCTTCAAAGGTGAGTTAATTCTGAACAAATTAGCACTTATTGTTGGACCTTGGTTCCATCTCATTTCCATCCTCCTCCGCTCACCTCTTAAAGAAGTATTTGTCCCAGCTTCCCTGTGCAAGACCCAGGCTTTTCTCTTGCTTTGTGCGTAACTACTGAATTGAGATGAATGGGCGTACAACTAAGAAAAATCAAGAGAAGTCATCTAAAAGAATACCTGTAAAATGATCACATTTTGGTAATTATATGACAGTAGCTACTAAAAACACCCAGGAAAACCACATATATATTTAAAACACACACACATACACACACAACTACACCCTTCCAATTATCGCTAAGCTTTGTTGAAGAAACTTAAATGGAGAGCCAAATATTAAATGATAAATTACTTTCAGAATCTGCTTCAAATTGAATATTGGAAAGCTTATACTACAAAATGCCTCACTATGGGTTCTGAGCCAGATAACCTTTTAACCACCTTTCCTGTGTACAACCCGTGAAAATCTAAGAGTTTGTGCATAAACACAGGATTTTATTTAGAACATGTCAAGTATCCGCATACATTTATTTAAAAAGAGAAACAGCTTCTGATGAATGCAGTGACATTCACTTAAATCAAAGCCAAACAGGTTACACCACATTAATACCAACCCAGGATGCATAATGAGTTCTCTTCCATTACTCACTTCGAAAATTAACTCCAGAAATCAAGAACACAATCTATCTTAAGATTCTTTAATTAAAAAAAAAAAAAAAAACTTAATTTTTGAACAGCTAAATAGTTTTTAATGGACCCAAGTCAGAGATGAGAGTCAGTCTTCTGCCTAAATGTTTATCCATTACTGATTGTTTTACCAGAATAACAATTCTCTATATTTTTGTTTATTTTTGTTTGCTTTGTTTTATTGGGTTGGGGGGACACTACAGAAGGCCAAAGAGGAGAATAAATAGTTCAACAGAATAAAGAAATACAAACTAAAAAACAAAAATCGTTTCTGTCTATTTCTTAACGTTGGAATCAACAAGGCCTCAAAGAAGCCCCTGAAACTTTTTGACCAACTTTAGATTTGCATGTTTCAAGTGATCAACAATGATATTTTTACAAACCAACGAAACATAATGGATTCACTTAACATTCCCAGCTTAGAATATGGCCTCGGGCTTAGTGTATGTCCAATAAATAATTGCTAAACCGATGCAAGTATCATCCCACAGATGATAATAATCATAATCCCACAGAACTTCCTAATAACAACTTAATGACAAGAAGAGGAGTTCATGGATTTGATATTCAAACCCCTACCTCACGTGGTATCTCGTTAAACTCCAGGGCTCATAGACATGTTCCACTCCTACCTTAGGTGGACTGTTTCATTCAACCCAAACTGATGTCTGCCACTCTCCCAACGCCTTTTGTTCTATCCATCTGTGAGCTTTCAACAATTTTCATGGTTTAAATGGAGGTATCAATGAACAAGAAATCTTTCTTTAGTAAATTTAGAGAAAGGCAATACAGTACTTACAAGAGTAGCTACATTATATAAGAAAGTAGTCCTGTTGCTAAGGATACAGTGTATCTTTTTGTTGTTGATTTTTACTTGAAATTTACAGCACTCTCATTTAAAAGATTCTTTCCCAAGTTTTCACAGAGAGAATGTGGATGTACTTTCACTGGAAAGGTAGAGGTACCCTTCAGTTTTCTGAATAAGTCAAATTACCCGTCGTGCAGAGTGACTAATCTCTGTCAACAAGGAAGAAACAGAAGTCCCTACCTGGAAGGGACTCTTCAAACCACTGAAAATATGTTTTTATAGAAGAGCCTCAGTTTCACATCACTGCTATCATCTAAAAAACAGAGGTAGGGACGTGACTCACTTGTATCCTTAGCCTTTCGGGGTTTGTTTGGGATATAAACACATTGAATACCTAAGAACTAAAAGTCCAGAAAGTGGTCAAACAGCCGAACTGAAAATCAGTAATCAACGAAAGGAAGAAGAATGCATTGTGCAGTCTTAGAAGCAATAATTCTCCATGAGGAGGCAGGTCGTCTATATCAGAAACTGGGGGTCAAAGACAGACTCTTTCAAATCACTTATATCCCCTCCTCTTAAGCCTAGTTGAGGATATCCACTACAGTCAACACTGTTACTTCAGGGAGTAGGTCGTATCCCAGAAGGGGGTTAGGGTAGAAAAAAGGTTGAGAAGCACGGCAGAAAAAGGATAAATGTTAGACATTTCCTTTATAGTTCTTCACACTCTAATGGTGAAAACCCAAGCATATATAGAAACCCCAACTCTAAGTATACCACTACCCTTTACATTGGAAGGTATAAAGAGCTATTTACGTGTCCTCAGCTATCAGAGGACATTGAACAGTTAGATTAAGAAAGTATCTAATAGAGATGCCTGAGTGTCTCAGTCAGTTAAGCGTCAGACTCTTGATAATGTCTCAGGTCATGATCACACGGTCATGAGACTGAGCCCTGTGTTGCACTCTGCACTGAGCGTGAAGCCTGCTTGGGACTCTCCCTCTCTCCCCCCCCCCCCCCCCC